CTTCTTGGCAGGAGGGGATGAGCTGCGGCAGAGCTTGTAGACCCTAAACCCTAAATCCTTAATCTTATTATTTTGTGAACCCTGAAGCCCGTAAAACCGGCTACATACGTGCTGCATGCGACCCGGCACAATCCCTTGCCTCATTTTTTTAATCATTCGTGCAGAATCCATTACGGTTTACACTGCAAATGCCACGAGCCGCGTACAACCCCGCACCGTCCCTTGCAACACAATTATTTCCGCATCATGCGTGCAGAATCCATTGCGATTTACATTGCAAATGTCACGAGGCGCATGCGACCCCGCACCGTCTCTGGCAAACAAACGTTATTTCCTGATCATGGCCCCTTCATCCTATGCAAAAGTATTATATCCTGAGCATGCTTGCTGTAAGCTGTCGCCAACCCATGCAACTAATATTATTTCAAGATCATGTGTGCTGTAAACTCTCGCCATCCCTTGCAAGCGCTCCCCGACGCTCCAAAGCGCTCCCAAGGGCTCCCAGGCGCTCCCCAGCGCTCGCAGGCGTTTCCAGGCGTGCCAGGCGCTTCCATGCGCTCCCAGGCGCTGCCAGGCGCCCCCAAGCGCCCCCATTCGTTGTACTTGCAACGAGGGGAGAGATGATCTTTATAGGGGGGTGGTTTGCAGGTGGGACTGACAGCCACTTCAGGTGGGCTCCTAGGCAGGAGAGGATCAGTTGCGGCAGAGCTTGTAGACCCTAAGTCTTTCATCTTATGATTTTTAAATCTTGAACATTCAGGGCCTACGCCTTCTAATTTCCATCGAACTCCCGACCCTCACCATCCTACGCATAAGAATGTAATATCCTGATCATTCTTTGCGCTCACCCCCCTCCGTCCTATGCAGCGCATTTTATTTCCTGATCATGCGTGCTGTAAGTCCTCGCCGTCCCTTGCAAAAGATAGTATATCCGGTTCATTTTCCGCCCTCACCCCCCTCCATCCGATGCAAGAATATTATATGCTGATCATGCGTGCTGTAAGCCGTCGCTATCGGCTGCAAAAACATTATTTCCTGATCATGCGTGCTGTGAACTCTCTCCATCCCTTGCAAGCGCTCCCAGACGCTCCCAAGCGCTCCCAGAGGCGTCCAGGCATTGTAGCGCTCCCAAGCGCTCTCAGCGCTCCCAGGCGCTCCCTCGCGCTCCCATTCGTTGTACTTACAATTTGTTACAACGAGGGGAGAGATGGTCTTTATGGTATGGTGTTTTGGGGCTGTAGATCTGCGTTCCACACGCTCCTGGCGCTCGCGGTACTCGCTGCACTCACAACGAGGGGAGAGATGATCCTTATGGGGGGTGGTTTGCGGGTGGGACTGACAGCCACCGCAGGTGGGCTTCTAGGCAGGAGGCAGAGCTTGTAGACCCGAACCCCAAACCTTAAAATCTGAAATCTTAAGTCTTAGATCATAATCCTATAACTATTAAACCCTGAATCCTGCCAAACCGGCTACATACGGGCACATGCGGGCATATGCGCCCCGGCATGTAAACCGGCGCCATCCCTTGTGAAATTGTCAATTTCCTGATCATGCGTGCAGAATCCATTGCGATTCACAATGCAACTGCGCGTCCGCGGACGAAAATCAGGGCCATCCCTTGCAAGCACATTATATTCTGATTATGCGTTCATACACCTATGAGACTTTCCTTACCAAGTGCGCCGCTGTCGCAGAATCTGGTGTTTCAGGCGCTCACAACGCTCCCCGGCGCTCCCAAGCGCTCCAGGCGCTCGCAAGCGCTCCCAGCCAGGCGCTCCCAAGCGCTCCCAGGCGCTTCCAGGTGTTCCAGGCGCTCGCAAGCGCTCCCAGCGCTCCCAGGCGCTCCCATGCGCTCCCAAGCGCCCCCCTTCGTTGTACTCACAACGAGGGGAGAGATGATCTTTATGGGGGGGTGGTTTCCGGTTGGGCCTGACAGCCACCGCAGGTGGGCTCCTTTGCAGGAGGGAATTAATTATTAAACCCCAAAGCCCGGAAAGCCGGCTATATACGAGCCGCATACGCTCCCGCCCGCGAGCCGCATGCGGCCCGGCACTATCCCTGGCAAGTAGTATTATGTCCTGATCATGCGTGCAGAATACACTGCGATCTACACTACAAATGCGCGTCCGCGGACGAAAATCAGGGCCATCCCTTGCAAGAGATAACATTTCCTGATCAAGCGTGCATGATCCCTAGCGATTTTCAATGCAAATGCGCGTCCGCGGACGTACACCCTTGCCATCCATGGCAAAACTAGTTCTTCTTGCTCATACGTTCATACACCTATGAGACTTTCCTTACCAAGTGCGCCGCTGTCGCATTTTATATATATATATATACATATATTATATATATTATATATATATCGTATATATACGGCGCTCCCAACGCGCCCAGGCGTTCCCAAGCGCTCCGGGCGCTCCCACGCGCGCCCAGGCGTTCCCAAGCGCTCCCAGGCGCTTCCAGGCGTTCCAGGCGCTCGCAAGCGCTCCCAGCGGTCCCAGGCGCTCCCATGCGCTCCCAAGCGCCGCCCCCATTCGTTGTATTTACAACGAGGGGAGAGATGATCTTTATGGGGGGGGGGGGGGGTAGCGGGTGGGACTGACAGCCGCCGCAGGTGGGCTCGTATGCAGGAGCCGATCAAGGCTTGCCTTGTGGACCCTAAACCCTAAATCTCAACAGCTGTCCGTTTCCACCTTCCGCTCTCCGTTGCCAGCCACCTCTTCTTACACGACCTCCTCCTCTTCTTGACCCATCCTTCCCCTCCAACCTCTGCCGTCCCCCCCCCCCTTCCTCCTCCCCCTCCCTCTCTTCTTTCTTCCTCCTCTCACCTGCCTCGCCCTGCCCCCCCCATCCGTCTCGTCCTTCTCGCCGCCTCTTCCTTCTCCTTCTGCCGAGGCGTCCAAGTGTGTGGTCAAAGCGATTCAGCTCGGTCCACCCTGGATTGCCTACTGCAAGACGACAGACAGGGCCCGCCGTTTAAGAGGCTGCCCCACCACCTTGCGTGATTTTGGTTGTTTTTATTTGTTATTCCCTCTCCCTCGCTCTCTCTCTCCAGCGTTTTCTGGGGGTCTACCCACTCTATCTCTCGCGCGCTCTGTTTCTCGTTGGAAGCGCCTCTGTCCACACCCTCCGCGCCGATGTCGTGAAACTCTTCCATTGCCACGCTTCCATCTTTCTCCTTTCTGCCGCGTCTCTTCCTCATCCACCTCCTGCTCCTGCTCCTCCCCTCCTCCCCCTCCGCCTCCTCCTCCTCTTCCTCCGCGCCCTCCCCTTCCTTTTCTTTGGGCTCCTTATGGCCCTCCTCCTCTTTCCCCCCCTGCTCGCCCTGATCAATGCCGTGGCCCCCTTCTGCGTTCAACCTGGCACCCCGCAGGGGGAGGGGCCCTCGGCGCCGCCCCCCCGCCCGAGTTCCACAGAGGAATCGCTCCGTTGCCTCTGCGTGGTGATGGGCTTCGTGAACATTTTCTCGCGCGGCTGGGTCGAGCACGAGGAGTGGTCCGCGCTGCCCATGGAAGATGAGCGCGGTGCGACGCCGCGCCCAGCAGTCAGCAAGGGGAAATGGCGCCCCATTCGGCGCGAGCCCCGTTGCCGAGTCATCGCTCATCGCCAGGTCATCTGAGATGTCCCCCCGACGATTCCATCTTCGCATGTTTAACGCAACGGGGTGTCGGCGCTGGTGCTCGCGCCGATCGGGGCGCCGCGCAGGCGGGGAATTTGTCGAGGGAGCTCGTCGTCGTGATCAACAAGAAGTGCGAGGAGACAACAATCTGCATCCTCCATCACTTCTTCTAGATCCAACTACGCGTTCCCCCTCCGCCCCTCCCCGCTGTCTGCCTGCCTCTCCTGCCCCTTGCCTTCCCTCCTCCGCCCGGTGCTCCTCGCCCCCCCCCCCCCCGCTTCAGCGCGGGGCGGTCGACCTCGCGGCGGGCGCGTCCGCCGAGCAGGTCGCCGCCAACGGGGGCAGTTTTTATTTCCACGTATCCGCGTTTATCTTTTCCCAGCCTTCTCCTCCGATTCACCTCGTCCTTGCCCGTCCACCTCGTCGATCTCGCTGGCCCTCCTTGTCGCCCCCTCCTTCTCTTCCATCGAGTCTTCCATTGTTCCTTCTCGCCTGCTGCTCCCCCCCCGTCGTCAGCGTCGCCCCCCCCTCCCTATCCCCCCCTCCCCCCTTCCACTTCCTCTCCTTCCTGCTCCTCTTCCCCCTCGTCCCCCCTCCCCCGTTTCATCCTCTTCCGCCGTCCGCCTTCTTTTCCATCCTGCTCAGTGTGACGGCAAGAATGGCGCTGCCGCCGCGAGCTCGCGCGCGGGCGAGGGGGTGGTGGAGGGGGGGAAGAACGAGAGCACGCAACATAATGATAATAATGAGAATGATGATAACATGGATAATATGGAGACGGCCGAGAAGAGGGAGGAACCGCCACTGGGCGTTGCCATTCTGCGGGCGAGGATAGTGTTCTCCAAATACTCGACCGTGACTGCCTCGTCGGCCACCCTTCAGCACGACGCGGAGACCGTTGCCAAGTGGGCGTGGGCATAGTCGGATGCGGGCGGGGGGGAGCTACTGAACGCGTTTGCCGAGATTCGGAGCGCATGCCAGGGCCCATTCCTGGAAACAGAAGTAATCCGACCTGCGCCCTCTCCCGCCTATCTATCCCACCCCGCCCCAGACTGGCATGCTTCCAACATTCATCATGCTTATTTGAACCCTCCCCTGAGTGTCCTTCATCCCCCCCCCCCTCTGCATTCCCCCTCGCCTTTGGCGTCCTCTCGCCCGCTCGTGCTCTCGAGCCCCCCCGCCCCGTCATTGGTGGAGGTGAGGGGGGGGGGGGGGGCGCGACTGTCGCCGGCCGAACCCGTCCACTGATGTCATGAGACTTTGAGCAGCTATTCGAAATGCTCCCGCGGGGGGAAAGGCTGAAAGCTTGGGAGGGGGGGCGCGTGAGAATCGGGGATTCTGAAGAAACAGCGTTCGGCCCTGGGGCCCAGTGCTCAGCGAGATGATCACCTCGGACATCGCCCAGCTTAAAGGGACGCTGGCCGAATGTGAGCTGCGCCGCGGGCTCGGCCTGGAGACGCCCTTGGATGGCCCTCTGAACAAGCTGTGCAAGGTGTGCAAGGAGGTCATCGACATCAGCAGGATCAGGGACAAGGGCAGCGAGGGCGAGGATGCGCCCGCCAAGAAAAGCAGCAAGAAGGTTTGGTTTCGTGTTCTATCTTTCAGGGGTTCGCCAGCCGGACGTTTTGGGGGCTGCACGCAGTTTTCTTTTCGCCAAGGGTGCTTTGGCACGTTGAGCATCAAGGGGCACCTGGGACCTGTTTGAAACAAGATTTGACAACATCCCGGTGGCGATGCGACCGATGACATCGCGATGCCACCTCGATGACCGATGACCCGATGACGTCACCGATTGCCCGATGACGCGACCGATGACACCCCTGCGACGACATGTGTTTTTACGATCAAACCCACGGCTGGCGCAACGATGACCTATGACACCCTGACCGATGACACGACGACCGATGACACGATGACCGATGACAGCGCGACGACACCCCGATGACACCCTGATTTCGCTGGTGTCAGAAGTTGAAACTGGCTGCGATGCTATATTGCACTCGCGAGCTCCGCAACCACTGGCTTTCGGAAGAAGGAAAGTGCATTCGCCTGCCGTAGAAGTGATATTTTTCACGAAATCGAGGTCGGAGCCCAAAAAGTGATGCCAGCAAAAGCGGATTCGCTTCCCAAAATCGCGTGGTCTGGGGGGCAGTGTATCTTCTGGTGCCTTCCGCAGACTGTTAGCACGAGACGGCGCTTTCGTGAACTCAGTTCCACTCGGTGCTGCTCGCTGCAAGCCAAAGTGCGAATGCATTAGGCTTGGACGTGGTACATCACGGCAGGCCTGCTTACGCTGCGGATTTTCTGGGGCTTAGTTTCTGCCGCACAAATGGAAAACAAAGGCTCGGTCGAGAAAGGGGTTCAGATGTGGCAGAGTCGGATGGCCTTGGCGATGTCAACGTGCTTGTTCCGATGTGTCGCGTTGTATATTTCTACTTCGAGTGCATTTTCAGGTCTGCATTTCTCCATGGGAACGTTCGTGCCGATAGCGTTTTGCATTCATTAACAACTCTGTGTATTGGCATACTGCTCTGACATCCTCCTCGACGCCCTACGTCCTCCTCCTCCTCTCCTCCTCCTCCTCCTCCTCCTCCACCTTGTGCCGCCGCCGCCTTTCCACTCTCCATCCGCCGTCCGTTTGGCTTCTTGGTGTTCCCCATATCCTTCTCCTCCTCCTTCTCCTCCTCCTCCTCCTCCTCCTCCTCCTCCTACCCGTGCTCGTTCCATCTTCTGCCCCATCCCACATCGTTGCTGGCTTCATTTTCTCCTCATCGCACCTCCATGTCCTCGTCCTGCCCCCGCCCCTCCCCCCCCATCCCAATACGTCGGTCTGGTAACTGTCGAAAGTCAGGGGGGTGCGAGAAACGAGGGGAGGAGATAACGACCTGCCCCCGCCCCCGGTTCTGCTGGGGCGTGGTCGCCTTTGTACTCGCCCGTTGAGGGATTGATCGGCCAGACCAATCGCTCGCGGCTTCCCTCGGATACCGCGCCCTCAACCTCCTTCTTTCTCTCTCTCTCTCTCTTTCTCCTTCCATCTCGCTTTCTGTCTGTTTGTCTCTCCCCCCTACTGTCTCTCCCCTAGTGTGCTATCATCCGTCCCCTCGCGCCTCCGCCCTCAAGTCGTCGCCGTCGTTGCCGCTGCCGATTTTCGTTCGAACATTTGCGCTTGCGACGCACGCAAGGCGTCGCCACCCCCAATACAGGCGCCGAAACACTTGCCTTGAATTCTTGCGCCGCGTTCCGACGCCGCTAACCTGCTCAAAACATTCAGGCGCCAAGCATGGCGCCCCGAAAAGGCGCCGTTTAAAAGGGCCGCCGGCGCCAGCCGTGCAGCCGCCCCGTCCGCCCAAGCGAGAGACAACCCAGGGTGAACGAGACGGTGGCCATTATTTGTTTCTTCTGCTCGTCCGCCTGCATGGGACAGCCAAGTTGTCTGCCAGAGAGTTGCGTCAGGCATGTTATTTTGCCCAGAAGACAAACGTGCCTGGAGCGTCGTTCAGTTTTTGCGCCCCCCCTGGCCAACAGACAGGGAAGTACCAATCATTGTTGGATCGGATGTTGCCCGAGCCGAAACACCTGACAACTATGAAATGCCCTGGTAACTACAACAGGGTCGCAATCCGCACAAGTGAACCTAGCCTCGTGCGTTGCGTTTGGGATTCCATCGAAGACGAGCTTATTTCTGACCCATTTTTGAAACGAGAGCTCGACGATTTGGCGGACGCTCCTTCGGACTCCACTGTGAATCTCCCTATGCATAAGAATCATCCAGTGGTGTTGCAGGCCGAGCGGGATAATCGGCCTCCGCCGCTGCCGCTTGCGCACTACCTTGCGCACTACGGTTCAGAACGAGTTGTTGTCGGCAGCTTGGTTGCGTGGCGATGGCTTCGTGGAATCGAAATCCCAGCGCGTGCTTGTGTCGTTATCTGATACAAGGTACCTGCGTGTTTCGATCCGACGTTTTCAGAATCCCGGGGGCGCAGACTGGTACGCAAACAATTCAGGCGCAATCAGTTGTGCGTCCGTCGTTCGCGCGTCGATGTTGTCTGCAAAGCTACTTGCTGTCATCGTTAGAGTAGTGCGTATAGCGTTCGGCCAGGTTGTTGCGTTGAATTTGTGTGTGTGTGGGTGTGTGTTACTGAGTGTCGATGATTGCGCGACGAGCCAGAAGCGTACAACACTTGGTCTCGCTTGAAACGTGGTGGGGCGATCCGTGGCCCCTCCCGCGATTGCCTCTTAGTGCCTCCCTTGGTGTTCGGCTTTAGTCTTGGCCGCGATCGCTGGCCCAGGTCCAGCCGTGTCATCGGTTGCATGGACTCACCATTTCGAAACCCAGCCGAGTTTCCGTGTTTTGCTGTCCATTTTTCCCCTGATCCTGCCTCCTTGCCGCCTTCATGGCCGCCCCCACCACAGGGCTGGGCAACCCTGCTTTGAGCCATCAAACGGGATCGAGTGCGCGGATATTCGCGCGTAAGTTCGCCACGTAGATTCGCGCGTAAGCGCCCTCGTTTTCGCGTGGTGTGCCGCAAGGTGCGGCCTGCGTGAGCCACCGCGTGACCTCGCCATGCCGTCGCCCGGGAGGCTGCTGTCCTTTCTGCCGCGCGCATGGCAGTTGCTCTCCTCAGCCCGAGCCCCCCGTTTATTGCATAACACGATAGGGGTCCCTGTGGGGATTCCAGGTCCGCTATGACATGCGTCGGCGCATAGAGAAAACATCAGAGCAACGGGGCGGGATGGGGTGGAGGGGTAGGCTGTCAGAAATGGCGCGAGCGCATCCGGGTTGTCCCTCAGCCCCTCTTATTCTGTGGGCCCTCCTGGTATCGGCGGCGAGCCCAGGGGGAACTCAGGGGGCGGGCCTTTTCGGAAGTCTCGGAAAGCCTCGGGCTTTCTGAGACGTTTTCTGAGCCTTTTTTGAACACATTCCTGGCTTCCCAAAAGCTTGGAGGGTTTCTGATAAGCCCCTCCGCATTTTGAAAAGGCCTGTCCCCTCTCACGACCCCCCTCCCCAAACGCACCGCCGACTCTCTCTTTCTGCGGGCCCTCCTGGTAGCCGCCGGCCCAGGGTCTGCGAGCGGGGCGCCTCCCGAAAGGGGCACGGGGGCCGCCCCCCCGCCCGCGAGCCGGGCAATGACAGACGTCGGTGCGCCGCCCCGGGGACGCGGGCCGGCCGGCGCGCGCGCGGGGCGGGAGAGTCATGGCGGCCTTCGACAGCGGGCGTTTCAGAGTCTGTTTTTTTTTTTCCCTGCTACCCCTGAGATGCCGCGAGCGCGTGCCCTCCCACCTCCCCTCCTCTGAGGACAGCACAAGCCCCCCCCCCACCCCCAACCAGGCCCCCCACTCCCGACTTGGTGACTGGTTTTTCCCCCCCCCTCCCCATCCCTCAAAACAAAAACTCGACCCCTGTTCACCAGGTCGGGAGTGGGTGTCCTGGCTGGGGGTGGAGGGGTGGGTTGTACTCTCCCCCTCCTCTTCCTTTCTCCCCTCCCTCCTTCGAATCATGGGGCCGCGGTGGATCCCAGCCTGCTGGCCGCTCTGAGGCCGAGTCGCTGCCACGCCTTGTGTGAGGCGCCACCCGTTTCTGGGCCCCTTGCCCACGCGGTGGTGAATGTGGCGTGATCCCGAGCGAAGGTCACACGCCTTTCTGTAGCTTTCGGGCGGGAGGTGTGAAATCCAGACGGAGGTTTCCTTTGGTTTTGGCCTCGAGAGGCCCTCGCCAGGCCCCTGGACGGTCAGCAAAAACGGCGCAGGACCAGAAGCTGGTCCCCCGGAGTCGGTCGAGCCTTTTGCAGGCCCCGGTATTGGAAACGTCAAGACGTCGGATCTTTGTGTCCGACGATCTGTGTTTTTTCGATGCGCAGCTCCAGGCCTTGTGAGGCGTACATTACTGTCCGTACCAGGCTTGAAGGGGGGAAGCGTTCCACAGAGCGTGAACTCCGGCTTCATCGGCATCGGGGCCTGTTGGCACTGACGGTTGGCATGCTGGGAGACATGTGGTGATCTGGTTTTTACAGTGCGCGGCCCCACAGGCCCCGTCTCAGTCCCTTGGGCCTGTTCTCGTGTTCCGGATCCGTTTTTGATGGCGCTGTGGCTCGAAAACGGACCCCCAGAGGCCGAGATCGAGGAAGAGCGCCCGTGCCTGAGAACATCAGATCGTCGGAGATCCGGGAGCAGGGCCGGGACCAAATTTGTTCCACCGAGCACGTCGCAGAGCGCAGCTGCGAATCGTGATGCACGGCGCGCCTTGTTCTTTTGAGTGCTGCCAGGCTTGATCCTTGGAGCTTTCTGAGCAGGACCGGTCGTTCACCCCAGAGCGTTCTGGAATGCTGTCAGGGCCCGTCGCCTCTCGGAGATTCCTGCCTTGGCTCGTTCCGGTCTGGCCTCCTTCTGGCCTCCGTGTCCCGAGAGGCGTGCTTCTCCGTGTCAGAGCTCGAGTCTTCTGCGCCCCCCCGCCGCTTCGACGCGCCAGGGCACGGCAGCAGCGCTCTGCTCGTCTTGTCAGCGGGCAGCGGAGGCACCACGTGCCGGTGAGCCGAGCACCCAACGGGGCGCGTGGAGGCGACTCGGGGCCCGCACAGGAGG